ATAATTTATTTGTGAAGGATTATCGCTTTTAAAGTGTTCATATTGTGGGATTGAAGGCTAACTCACAAGTTTCTAAATTGTACTAAATCGTCACCCAACTATTCTATAATTTTTCTATCGGATAACTAAAAGATGTTAAGATTAATCGACTCGAAATAAAGACTATGATATCATATAGACATTAAAGTTTTAATTACACTAAATTCCCCGATAATTACTTCTTTTTAATTACTTTAAAATACATGTAGTAGAAAAGTTTTTTTTTTAAACAAAAAGGTGAAAACCTACACTGTAAATTGTCTGTTTCAAAACATCAGGAATTGTATTATTCTTTTAATAATATAACCAAACAAGATGTGTTTCTGAAACACTGATGCCCCCGTGTTACAGTTCATTGCCAAGGATGAAGTTTCTTAAATGCAAGTCGAACTCCAAGGTCAAGAGTTCAAAATTGTTTGTACCCTCAAAAGGATCTAGTCATGCACAAAGAATATACATGTAAAATATGAGAAGCTAGCATTAACAGTTCAAAATATAACCAAAGTTAACGTATTTTAAAAGTAGGTAAAACACCAAGATCAACTTCCATCAAAAGGTAAAAAATGTGGGTTACAAAGTATATATGAGAGCCCTAGCATCAACAGTTGAAAAGCTAATTGCGACCTAGTTAATGTTTTTCAAAAGTAGGTCATATTCCAGGGTAAAAATCAAAAGGTCATAAAAGTAAAAGTTCGTACCCTAGGGAAGTTCTTGCAGCTATGAATTTCCGTGTAAAACATGGAAGCCCTAGTTTTAACCGCTGAAAAGTTGTGGCCCAGATTAAAGTTTTTTCAAACTCCATGGTCAAGGTCAAAAAGTCAAAAATACTGGTAAAAGGGAAGGTCTTGTCAAAAGAATTCCAGAAATTAAAAAGCCCAAGCTCTAACCATTCAAAATTTATAACCAATGTCAAAATTTGGTAAAATATTTCAAAAGTATGAGGTCAAGGTCCAAGTTAAATGTCAAATATGTTGGTGCCTTAAGAAAAGTTTTCTCACAAGAAATACATGTACAGGTGTGAGATAGGAACGACTTAGCTCCAACTTTTTAAAAGGTATCGGCAAGATTAAAGTTTTTGCCGACAAAGAGACAGACAGACTAATAGACACTCCAGAATCTATATGCCCCGAAATCTTCGATTAAAGGAGTATAAAATATTACCAGGAAATGCTGAAAACCTTGAATTATATAACTATTATAAAATGTTACGTCCATGTATTTCGGAAATATGCTATGTGTACGTTATTGGTTTTTACTATTATGTGTTCTTCGTTATAAAAAGTTTCATGATTCCATGAACACGTGTTGTCCTTACTTGTGTCCCAATACACAACATTGGCGACGAGGATTGAGCAAGTAACTGTTAGGATTGTGTACCGAATTTGTTCTGTGTACCGTCCACGTGCTTTCACAGCCATGGCAGGAAAAATAGGCCGATTGGAACGATTTAATAGTGCAGTTGAGACGTGGGATTCTTATCATGAACGCCTTGAACAATACTTTATTTGTAATGAAGTTAAGACAGACAAGAAAGCACCCGTTTTACTTACACTGATTGGTGGAGACACTTATTCACTGCTGCGAGGGCTCACGAGACCCAAGAAACCTTTAGAGGTATCGTACGGCGACGTAGTGGCGACACTACGAAAGCATCTATGTCCAAAGCCGCTAGTCATAGTTGAACGTTTTCGCTTTCATAAGAGGGAACAAGCAGAAGGTGAGACTATTTTTAATTATGTAGCAGCACTGGAAAAGTTATCTGAACATTGCTTATTTGATGAGGCTATTCTGGATGATATATTACGAGACAGACTTGTTTGCGGCTTACGCAATGAACATATACAAAAGAAACTTCTATCTGAGGCTGAACTAACCTTTACTTCTGCTACGGATATAGCCGTTGCAATGGAGACAGCAGCCCGGGATGCCACAGAACTACAGTCTAAGCACAGTCCTAGTGCAAGTGTACATAAACTGCAGACTAAAAAGAAATCTCATGGATATGGTGGGACATCAGGGAAATATACCCCCTAGGGAGGAAATCATCTTTCCGGTGAAATGGTGACCACAATCCACTTAGCTGTTAGTACAGAGATAAGGAGCGTTTCAAGTGTCACAAAAAGGGTAACATGCATGTCGCAGCCAGAAGAAAAATAAGATGAGTAGGCCTATCCACATGATAAATGACAGTTAGATAGTGATGGTGACCAGATCTGCATTAATACTTTGGAGATGGATATTAACTCATTGAGCAGATCAGACGATGTGATAAGGGTCACACCCATAATAAACAGTGTTAGTCTGGAAATGGAATTGGATACAGGGGCTGCAGTATCTGTAATTTCTAAGAAAATATTCAAGGAGAAATTTCCAAATGTCAAGATGAACCCTAGTGACATTTTGCTAAAGACTTACAAACGAGAAAGAATAAAACCTGTGGGTATCGCACAAGTCCGTGTGAGATACCAGGACCAGTGCAAGAATCTTAATCTATATGTTGTGGAAAAAGCTGGAGCTACACTATTTGGTCGGGATATACTTACCTTGTCATTGGTCATTTGCAAAATTATTTTGTTAAAAAACATTCTGATTGTACACACAAGTACTCTGAAGTTGACATTAAAAAGATGCTTGAGTTTCTGATTGACAATATCTATGTGGTGTTTGGAGACAGGTCTTCCAACAATCTATTGGAATTCCCATGGGTACCAATTGCGCCCCGTTATTAGCAGACCTTTTTTTGTATTCATATGAAGCAGAATTTGTCCAAAGTCTTGTACGTGAAAAGAAGAAAACACTTGCTGTGGCCTTCAACTCGACATTTAGATAAATCGACGACGTATTGTCAATTAACAATGGCTATTTCCATTCTTATGTCGATACGATATATCCTAGTGAACTTGAGATAAAAGATACCACAGAGTCTGACACATCGGTTTCATATTTGGATATTTTACTTGAAAAAGACGATAATGGTAATCTAACAACCAAGCTTTATGATAAACGTGATGACTTTAACTTTTCAATCGTCAACTTCCCTTACTTATGCAGCAATATACCTTCATCACCTGCATACGGGGTATATATCTCTCAGTTGATTCGATACGCAAGAGCATGCTCTACGTATGTACAATTTCTAAAACGAGGTAAATTATTGACAAATAAGTTGATGAAACAAGAATATCAGCTGTCTCGTTTAAAGTCATCATTTCGTAAGTTCTATGGTCGATACAGTGACCTTGTCAGCAAATACAATTTATCATTGAGTCAAATGCTGACTGACGTTTTTCACACTAATTGTTAGGCCATTATTTACACACTGAATTGTCGAGGATTTTTCCGTTATTTCCCGATCATGACAAGGAGCACACGGCGGGTGTGACCGGTCGGCAGGGAATGCTCACTCCTTCATGGCATCTGATCCCACCTCTGATGTTTGGAGGTCCGTGTTTGCTCTGCTCCTATTTTGTATTGATTAATGGACTTTTGAGCTTGAATACTGTTCGTTATCTCCATATATTTCACTGAAACAGATTACATTGAAGATTACATTGAACTGGCCTGAAATTAAAGCACATTAGAGGGAATTTGGACAAGGTTGAATGTCAAACCCAACGCAAAACCTAAGTTTGTGAAAGCCAGACAGGTGCCTTATGCACTAAAACCTAAAGTTGACATAGAACTAGAGAAGTTAGTGAAAAAAGGTGTAATGGTGTACTGGAGAAGTGTAACGGTAGTGAATGGGCAACGCCCATTGTACCAGTCAGTAAGAAAGACGGTTCAGTTCGTGTGTGTGGAGATTTCAAGGTGACTCTTAACCCAGTATTAGAAATTGACCAGTACCCTCTTCCAAGAATTGAAGATATATTTGCTGCTTTATCTGGAGGACAACAATTCTAAAAAGTGGATTTAAAACATGCCTACCTACAGACGGAGGTAGAAGAAGATTCGCGTTCCTTACAGACCATCAACACAGAAAAGGGCTTATATCGTTACAATCGCCTGGTGTATGATCTTGCATATGCGCCTGCAATTTGGCAGCGTTCAATGGATATGGTGCTTCAAGGACTTCCTGGAGTGAAGTGCATCATTGACGATATGATCATCACAGGCAAAGATGAATCAGAGCATTTACGGAATTTAGATGCTGTGCTTGGCAGATTGGCAGAATATGGACTCAGAGTAAACTTGGACAAGTGCCAATTTTTCAATGATAAAGTATCTTTTTGTGGGCATGAAATTAACCGTCATGGTTTACAAAAGACACAGAAGAAGATAGACGCGGTTGTAAATGCACCACAGCCTACTCTTACTAATGTGTCCGAACTTCGTTCATTCTTGGGGATTGTGAACTACTATGCACGTTTCATTCCCAATTTATCTACAGTGCTTCACCCACTGTACAACTTATTAGAGAAGGACCGCAAGTGGTGTTGGACAAAAGACTGTAAGAAGGCGGCCTTCAAGACTGTTAAAATGCTCATCACATCAGATGAAGTACCTACCCATTATGATCAAAACCTACCCTTATGTCTTGCGACAGACGCCTCTCCTTATGGCCTTGGAGCTGTTTTGAGCCACAATATGCCCAATGGTGAAGAAAGACCGATTGCTTATGCATCCCACTCACTCAGAACATCTGAGAAAAACTACTCACAGATAGAGAAGGAAGCTCTAGGAATTATATGGGGAGTAAAACGTTTCAACACTTATGTTTATGGAAGACATTTTCGTCTTATTACAGACCATGAACCACTCATCTCTATATTTGGTCCAAAGAAGGGGATCGCAAATACAACAGCAGCTAGGTTGCAAAGGTACACCCTTTCCCTAGCTGGATACAACTATGATATATTTGACAGAAATACAAAGAAACATGGAAATGCCGACAGTTTGTCACGCTTACCTGTCACATATGAGGGTAGCCGATAAGTGGACAAGAAGAGGAAGCAGAAGTGGAGATGTTGCATGTCAGTCAACTGGAACATCTACCCATCAAACCCGAAGCAATCCAATGTGAAACAAAGCGTGATTATCTCTTGTCCAAAGTTTATAAAAACGTTTCCAGAGGTTGGTGTGTAAATTCAGAGTCAAAGGAGATGGACCCATACTTTACACGCCGTGGTGAACTAACTATTCACCAGTACTGTCTTTTATGGGGAATCCGTGTTGTTATTCCGCCGTCACTGCGAAGTCAAGTTTTGGATGAGCTACATCAAGGCCACATTGGTGTGGTTAAAATGAAAACCTTAGCAAAAAGTCATGCTTGGTGGTAAGGGATAGATCGGGATATAGAACTTTTGACAAAGAGCTGTGCTTGATGCCAGGCTGTAAAACATGCACCAGCCGCACCTATTCACCCCTGGGAATGGCCATCTAATCCATTGGAAAAGATCCATATTGACTTTGCTGGTCCGTTTCTCAATTCAATGTTTTCTAGACATTGTTGACGCTTACTCTAAGTGGCCAGAGGTGATACCTATGAAAATCACAACATCTTCCCAGACCATAGATGTATTACGTACTGTTTTTGCAAGTAATGGCCTACCATTACAAATTGTAAGCGACAATGGACCTCAATTCACATCAGAGGAGTTTGCCAATTTTACCAGAGGAAACAATATAAAACACATAACCTCAGAACCCTATCATCCCAATACTAACGGTTTAGCAGAAAGATTTGTACAGTCATTCAAGATGGGTCTCAAGTCAAGTAAAAAAGGAAAGTGGTAGTGTGGTGAAGAAACTAAGCAATTTTCTTATGGCTTACCGTAATGCTCCACAGTGCACAACAAATGAAAGTCCAGCAAAATTATTCATGGGCAGAAACTTACCATCTCGTTTAGACCTCATGAAACCAGATGTTAGGAGGAAGGTAGAGCAGAAACAGTGTGAAGTGCGCGAAAGAAGAAAAAGTATGTTGCGTAAATTCGAACCAGGAGATTCTGTTGCTGTTCGTGACTACCGAAAGAATCATTGTCAGTGGACTTCTAGAACTGTAACAGCTCAGGCTGGACCTGTATTATATTCTGCAGAAGTAGCACCAGGAGTCACATGGAGAAGTCACGCTGATCAGTGTGCCAATTCAGGAAGACTTGCATATTTAGCTTAGTAACGCAGCTGCGAGTCAACAACCAGTGAAGCTAAACATCGCGAAACAGAACCCACCCACGTCCAATACAGAACCACATCCTTTGCATCCATCCAATGATTACCCAGCCGTGCAATCTACTCAAGCTGCTCCGAAACCAAGATAGCCAAGTCGTGTTAGAAAACCGCCCAAACATCTTGATGATTATGTTTAACATTGAAATGTGATACTAGTGCAGATTGAGGCATAATAATTCTCATGGTATCACAGGGAAACAAAATTTTCTCATTTGTACATATGTTGCTCATACTTTTGTTCTTAAATGTATAATTTACATTTGTATGTTGTCATTTATTTCCGAGACTTGCCATCATATAAGAGAAAAGAATGTAAAGGGGTATATCTTACTTTAAAACTTAAGAGGGAGGAATGTTATGTCCATGAATTCCGGAAATATGCTATGTGTACGTTATTGGTTTTTACTATTATGTGTTCTTCGCTATTAAAGTAGTTCCATGGTACCATGAACACGTGTTGTCCTTACTTGTGTCCTAATACACAACATAAATGATCTTAAAATATAGAAAAACATATTTCTTTTACGATCAAATTTACTGAAAAAAAAGAATTTAATGTACTATGTTACACAGTTGTGACTGTATTGACTGCGTAAATTTATTATTTCAGAGCGCAGAAATATTACAATGCTTTTACTTACTGCACACTTACTTCTGGGTGCGTTACATACCCAGGCTTACGGTAAGATTTCTTTTTATCCTCTTTTTAATTCAGTAATGGAATAGATGTTAAAATATATTTATTATACCCCCGCAATCGAAGTTTGGGGGGGGGGGGGTATATAGGAATCACCTTGTCCGTCTCTCTGTCGGTGCAAAGGTGTCCGGTTTATATCTTTCTTATGGAGGAATATTAGAATCTACTACTACACACAAAGATTGTTCATGACTTGAGGGTGTGTTATGACCTTAATCCAAGGTCATTTTGGCAAGTTCAAGGTCAATGGAAGAAATAGTTCATAATTGATGTCCGGTCCATATCTTTCCTATGGATAAACTTGGTGAGTTCCCATTTAACACACAAAGATTGCTTATGACCTGAGGGTGTTTTAGGACCTTGACCCAAGGTCATATGGGCAGTTCAAGGTCACTGAAAGAAAAAGTTCATAATTCCTGTTCCGGTCCACATCTTCTAATGGATAAACTTGGTGATTTCCCATCTTACACAAAGATTGTTCATGATCTGAGGATGTGTCATGACTTTGACCCAAGGTTATTTGGGCAAGTTCAAGGTCACTGAAAGAAAAAGTTAATAATTCGTGTCCAGGCCATATCTTCCTTATGGTTAAACTTGGGGAGTTTCCATTTTATACAAAGATTGCTTATGTTCAGAGGGTGTGTCATGATCTTGACCTAAGGTCATTTGGGCAAGTTCAAAGTCACTGAAAGAAAAAGTTCATATTTTTTGTCTGGTCCATATCTTATGGATAAACTTGGTGAGTTTCCATTTTACACAAAGATTGCTTATGTTCAGAGGGTGTGTCAAGATCTTGACCTAAGGTCATTTGGGCAAGTTCAAAGTCACTGAAAGAAAAAGTTCATAATTTTTGTCTGGTCCATATCTTATGGACAAACTTGGTGAGTTTCCATTTTACACAAAGATTGCTTATGACCTGAGGGTGTGTCAAGACCTTGACCTAAGGTCATTTGTGCAATTTCAAGTCACTAAAAGAGCATGTTCATAATTCATATCCGGCTGTATCTTTCTTATGGAGAATAATGTTGGGATGTTGGCAGTTTCCACTTCACACAGAGTTTGCTTATGACCTGAGGGTGTGTCATCATCTTGACCTATAGTCACTGTAGAAAAAAATGGATAAATAATGCATCCATACTTTCCAATAGAGGAATACTAGAAAAATTATTTATTTTTTCAATGTAAAAAAAAAATGTTATTATAAGTATTGATGTTACATGTATATTAGGCTGCGCCTTAGTTTCATTCATTAAAAAATATAATGAGCAATTTCCGGTAAATTTTCACTCTAAATGTTTAAACAAATTGTGAACGCCTCTTAGATCCATCAAATACTAGTATTAGTGACTTGGCACCTTCTCTGAAAAACTCTGCGGGGGGAGGGGAGGGGGGTATTTGTCCATTTTGGACAGTTTTAGTTTAAAAAAGATAATGAACACATTACACAACGGATTAACGCACATGACTATGAATAATCCTGTAGGCCAAGAAAAATATTTGTACGTTTTCGAAAGTTAAATGAATCCATAGTGATAGTTTGATTTTTCAACATCAAGAAACTCCTTAGAGTATACTAATATCTCCATAATATAATATATTCAAAATATACAAAGGTCTTGAAAAATGTTTAAAAGTTAGATTAAAATCGATTTAAGAGTTGAAGAGACAATAAGTCTGAAAGATTTAAAATTTAAGAAATAGTTAGCAAACCCTGACAAAGTCCAATTATCAATAAGACTTTCCAGACAAAAGTTGTAAGGATGATGCATCTACGGATGTACGTTAGCAGAACTTGCTTCGGAAGGTGGATACGGAGAACATTGTCTTGGTAAATGATCATTTACAATTTTAGAGTAGGTTCATTACCAATTAAGCATTGAATCAATATTTTTTGAAAGATATAGTCTCATAACTGCAACGGTGTGTGCAAATAAATTGAGTAACGAGCGTTGGCGCGTTATGAAAATTTCTTTGCACACCATTGCAGTTATGAGACTATATCTTTCAAAAAGTAATGATTTAATGCTTATATTTACATTTGTTAACTCCTTGCCTTGACTGCAAATGTGATTTATATTTCAAAATCCCTGTATTATCCTTAGGGTAAGTTGTAATTAATGAAAGAACCGTTGCAACAGCTTCTATTCGATGTGAGCGTGAATTTTGATTTTCGTTTATGACGTTGCACTTGCACGGCGTTCAACGTTTGTGACGTCAAAATAAAACGCATACTTTAACCTTTTGACCCCTTGTCCGTGTTATGGTGTTTTGAATGCCGTAGCTTTCTTTACGTTTTCTAAGCAAAATACACGTTGAATGTAAATATGTAACTATGAATCTTACTCATACGAAACTTGAATGGATGATGAATCTTAGGACCTATACTACCGGGTAAAAAAGACTGATCTTTGCTACAGAAATGAAAGAAAAAGTGAGCAAGCTCACATACCCCACGCTCCCCCAAAACTCAACAATGCAACCCGTACTGAATGGCACAGTGCATTTTAAATACACAGAGTAATTCAAAAAGGGGCATTACATGCAAAAAATCATCACATCAAAACTTCTTGCATATAAGGACATTCAAATCATTGTATGTTACAAATTTAATTGGGCTGAAGTTTCTAGATAAATAATGGAATCAAACTTTCTTGGTAATATACAAATCTATACATTATGTCTGAAATACCTACAAAGTTTCAGGAAATTCAGTGCAGGAGTTATGCTGATAAACTGTTATTTAAATTCCTCAGTGATTTCGATTTGTTAATGAGTGTAAGTCCATGTCCAACACATAACAACTTACACATTTAGATAATTGATGGAAACAAAATTATGATGTAGTCATATGAATTTGTTCATATACTGTACTTATGAAATTATTTAAGGCAAAGCACCAATTTGAAGGGGGGGGGGGAAGGGAAGAACTATCCAAGATTCAAGATTTTGTGTGTGTGTTTAATCATTAATATTTTGATCTCAAACTCAATAGGAGTCTTTTAAGGTCATAAAATATTTCACATAAAATGTCATTACAAAGGCTGATTCCAGTGGATTTCCTTATTACCTAACTGGAAAGTTTCTTCAATAATAGGCAAAACTCTTGGGGCAAAAATAATGGAATCGGAATTTCCTGGTAATATGCACATCTACACACTGTGTCCTAAATATCTGCAAAGTTTGATGAAATTCTGTGCGGTGGTTTAAGAGGAGTTGCGCTGACAAACTGTTCATCTCTATATTCAAGATATGGCCAAAAATCTAAGTTGAAAAGTGCCGAAATTCCCAGAAAAAATAAAGGAATCGGAATTTCCTGGTAATATGCACATCTACACATTGTGTCCTAAATATCTGCAAAGTTTGACGAAATTCTGTGCAACGGTTTAGGAGGAGTTGCGCTGACAAACTGTTCATCTCTATATTCAAGATATGGCCAAAAATCTAAGTTGAAAAGTGCCGAAATTCCCAGAAAAAATGAAGGAATCGGAATTTCCTGGTAATATGTACATCTACACATTGTGTCCTAAATATCTGCAAAGTTTGACGAAATTCTGTGCAGCGGTTTAGGAGGAGTTGCGCTGACAAAAAAACAGGACTGACGGACTGACTGACTGACTGACTGAAGGACGGGTCAAAAACATTATACCCCCCGCAACTAGTTGCGTGGGGTATAATTATGAGTATGGTTTTGAAATGGGTATACGGGTGTGAAAGGCGCATTTTACTAGTCTATATTTCATAGAAATAGCATCACCTGCTCTCATCAACATTAGTGCATTTGAAATACAATTACAACATAACCACGCAGACGAATCACCCAAAAAAATTCGGAAATAGAATTTTGAAATGAATAAATTTAGCTTGCAATTTTTTTTATTAGTGTATGCTTTCAGACAGACAGTAAACCCATGTTCTACCATAATTATATAATTGTGTGCATTTTGATATAAATCTATTTTATATATGTACAGTTTTGTACACAGGTACATTATTTGGAAAAAGCGTACGAAATATACCAATATCACTTTTGGATCAACCCTCATAGATTTTTTTTTGTACAGTACCATCAAAATAAGCATTTCCCAATGTACACTTGCCTTGAAAAATGTTTTAAATTACAAATTTTGAACATCCCAAAAATCTTCACTATTTTAAATTGTGAAATAAAATATAGTTACTACTTAATTTTTAATACAAAATAAGACAGGACTTTTTTTAAAAAATTTAAAAATAAATTTTAATAGACTGTATATATTGTTTATAGCAGATAAATCAATAGATTCCTTCTAAATGAAAAGAAATACATTTCTAAATTAAAATATATATATATATCACAGACCTTAAACAGAAATATTTATGCAAAACTAAAAATAAAGCATGGCTAAGAATGTGCAACATATGCAATAAATATTGGTACATATAATCACAATTCATATCAACTCAGCAAATCTAAAATTTCAAAAGGATTTATGTTTCATTATCTGGATGGAGTAGTAAGTGTACATACAGAACTTAAATTACAAATATTGTCTTAATAAAACATAGAATTCAGTTATTGAAAACAAAATCTAGAGACAATAAAGACTAGCACCATTTTCAAAGGAAAAACAAACAAACAAACAAACAAATAAAAATAATTAAAACTGAAGGTTACATGCAAATCTCACATGTAAGCCACCACATATTTATCTGCAAAAAATATATCTTTCAAAAAAGAATCAAACAATCATATGAGCACTTGAAGGGAAATGAAAAAAAAATAACCTTGACTATTGAGAAATACTGAGACCAGTAAGAATTAATGTAAACAAAAAAAGCACAAACAAAAAAGATGATTTGATCAGGAGGCCAACTGAGTTACATCTGATTGACTACAAAGTAATGATAAACTACTCTACAGTTTGGAAGAGTGCAAATATCCTAACAGCTGACAAGTGAACACATAGATAATAAATATTACAATATTTATAAAATAATATTTTTCAACTACAATACAGTCAAACCTCATTATCTTGAACTCAGTTTGATTAAGAAAAAACTTTGAGAGATCTAAGGATTTGAAATATCCAGGGTAAAATACTTAAAGAATAAGTAGTTGGGACTTTGAAATAACTTCGACATATCCATGTAAGTTGAGATATTCCGAAGTTCAACTATACTTATAAATATTAACACTCATATGACCAAATTTCACCCCTCTTCAATTCTTCTAATTAAAAATAATTGTTGGTTTATATATATATTCCAACTGAAAAAAAATAAAATAAAGTACATGTACATATGTGCTTCAAATTTAAACACATTTCAAGGGAAATAACTCATGCATACGTGAAATCACTAATTTTCGTGGGGGTTTAATTTTAATTGTTTTCATCGTATGAGGAAACCCATGAATTTATGTCCCCCACAAAACACAGAATTTCAAATATATAACACTGGTGTATGTATAGGGGGACTCTCCTTTTGTGACCCAAATTTAGTAAAGATGAATAAATCCTTTTCTTTTGGTTGTTAGATATAGCTTTTATATGCATAAAAAATAGCTAAAATAACTCTAACAAGAGGCCCATGGGCCACATCGCTCACCTGAGTAACTTTGGCCATGCTGTTCTTTACCAGATTTCCACCCTTTTAATATACCTATTGTGGCCCCGCCCTACCCCCGGGGGTCATGATTTGAACAATTTAGAATCTACACTACCTCAGGATGCTTCCAAATAAGTTTCAGCTTTATTGGTCCAGTGGTTCTTGAAAAGAAGATTTTTAAAGATTTTTCTTATATATTTCAATGTAAAACTTGGATTCCCTACTGTGGCCCCGCCCTACCCCCGGGGGTCATGATTTGAATAATTTATAATCTACACTACCCCAGGATGCTTCCATATAAGTTTCAGCTTTTCTGGCCCAGTGGTTCTTGAGAAGAAGATTTGTAAAGATTTTTCTTATGTATTTCAATGTAAAACTTGGATTCCCTATTATGGCCCCGCCCTACCCCGGGGGTCATGATTTGAACAATTTATAATCTACACTACCCCAGGATGCTTCCATATAAGTTTCAGTTTTTCTGGCCCAGTGGTTCTTGAGAAGAAGATTTGTAAAAATTTTTCTTATGTATTTCAATGTAAAACTTGGATTCCCTATTGTGGCCCCGCCCTATCCCCGGGGTCATGATTTGAACAATTTAGATTCTACACTACCCCAGGATGCTTCCATATAAGTTTCAATATTTCTGACCCAGTGGTTCTTGAGAAGAAGATTTGTGAAGATTTTTCTTATATATTTCAATGTAAAACTTGGATTCCCTACTGTGGCCCCGTCCTACCCCCGGGGGTCATGATTTGAATAATTTAGATTCTACACTACCCCAGGATGCTTCCAAATAAGTTTCAGTATTTCTTGCCCAGTGGTTCTTGAGAAGAAGATTTGTAAAGATTTTTTCTATATATTTCAATGTAAAACTTGGATTCCCTATTGTGGCCCCGCCCTACCCCCGGGGGTCATGATTTGAACAATTTAGATTCTACACTACCCCAGGATGCTTCCATATAAGTTTCAGTATTTCTGGCCCAGTGGTTCTTGGGAAGAAGATTTGTAAAGATTTTTCTTATATATTTCAATGTAAAACTTGGATTCCCTACTGTGGCCCCGTCCTACCCCCGGGGGTCATGATTTGAATAATTTAGATTCTACACTACCCCAGGATGCTTCCATATAAGTTTCAGTATTTCTTGCCCAGTGGTTCTTGAGAAGAAGATTTGTAAAGATTTTTTCTATATATTTCAATGAAAAACTTTGATTCCCTATTGTGGCCCCGCCCTACCCCCGGGGGTCATGATTTGAACAATTTAGATTCTACACTACCCCAGGATGCTTCCATATAAGTTTCAGTATTTCTGGCCCAGTGGTTCTTGAAAAGAAGATTTGTAAAGATTTTTCCAATATATTTCAATTTAAAACTTGGATTCCCTATTGTGGCCCCGCCCTACCCCCGGGGGTCATGATTTGAACAATTTAGATTCTACACTACCCCAGGATGCTTCCATATAAGTTTCAGTATTTCTGGCCCAGTGGTTCTTGAGAAGAAGATTTGTAAAGATTTTTCTTATATATTTCAATGTAAAACTTGGATTCCCTACTGTGGCCCCGTCCTACCCCCGGGGGTCATGATTTGAATAATTTAGATTCTACACTACCCCAGGATGCTTCCATATAAGTTTCAGTATTTCTGGCCCAGTGGTTCTTGAGAAGAAGATTTGTAAAGATTTTTTCTATATATTTCAATGTAAAACTTGGATTCCCTATTGTGGCCCCGCCCTACCCCCGGGGGTCATGATTTGAACAATTTAGAATCTACACTATCCCAGGATGCTTTCATATAAGTTTCAGCTTTTCTGGCCCAGTGGTTCTTGAGAAGAAGATTTTTTAATGACCCCACCCTATTTTTGTCTTCTCTTGATTATCTCCCCTTGTGAGGGGACTTGGCCCTTCATTTTAACAATTTAAATTCCCCTTCACCCAAGGATGCTTTGTACCAAGTTTGGTCAAAATTGGCCCAGTGGTTCTTGAGAAGAAGTCAAAAATGTGAAAAGTTTACAGACGGACGGACAGACAGACAGACGGACAGACAGACGGACGGACGGACGACGGACAAAATGTGATCAGAAAAGCTCACTTGAGCCTTCGGCTCAGGTGAGCTAGAAAACTGTTTTTAAGAGACTTGAAACCTGGGAGCTTTGCTCACATCCCTGGCCTGTTGCACATCCCCTTTCAGAATCCTGAATTCGCAACTGATAACCAGCTCTCAGCACTTCTTCAAGCACGAAATCAAGTCCTCCCAAACTGTTATTTTTTTTCTCAAACAGTATAACATTAAGGGCATGAATTATAAACTTAAATCTGTAGACAATGTATTCTGAAATCTCCATATCACTACATTAAAACAAAGCCAACATCAACATCATAGTCATTATAGTATAATAATTAATTCTCATGAAAATACATGTATATCACAGCAATACATTCAGGACTTGTCACTATTTAGTCATATACTGGTTTGAAGCCACTCTTTGATCTCCCACTGAAGTTTACAGGGGCTTCGTTACCGACAGGTCTATTGGACTGGGGGATAGTCCCCTCACCCTGGGTCAGAGCAAGGTAAGTACTGTCGTCATACTCATCCCCCGTTAAGGCGATGTTACGTAAATTTGGCATCTCTGCAAATGGCAGGTACATTTCCCCTAGAAATAGAGTTGTTCATATAATGTTCATATAATGTAAAATCATTGAAAGACCTACATTCTGAATGTTCATGAAAAAAATTGCTACAGGTAAAAACAATGAAAGAAAAAGTGAGCAAGCTCACATACCCCACGCTTCCCCAAAACTCGACAATGCAACACGTAATGAATGGCACAGTGCATTTTAAATACACAGTATAATTCCAAAAAGGGGCATTACTTGCAAAAAATCATCACATCAAAACTTCTTGCATATAAGGACATTCAAATCTTTGTATGTTACAAATTTAACTGGGCTGAAGTTTCTAGATAAATAATGGAATCAAAATTTCTTGGTAATATACAAATCTATACATTATTCTGAAATACCTACAAAGTTTCAGGAAATTCAGTGCCGGAATTATGCTGACAAACTGTTATTTAAATTCCTCAGTGATTTCGATTTGTTAATGAGTGTAAGTCCATGTCCAACACATGACAGTTTACACATTTAAATAATTGATGGAAACAAAATTATGATGTAGTCATATGAATCTGTTTATATACTGTACTTATGAAATTATTTAAGGCAAAGCACACCAATATGAAGGGGGGGGGGGGGGGGAGAACTATCGAAGATGGTGTGTGTGTGAGTGTGTGTTTGTGTTAAACCATTAATATTTTGATCTCAAAATCAATAGGGGTCTTTTAAGGTCATAAAATATTTCACATAGAATTTCATTATAAAAAGCTGATTCCAGTGGAGTTTCTTATTACCTAGCTGGAAAGTTTCTTCAATAAAAGGCAAAACTCTTAAGGCAAAAATAATGGAATCGGAATTTCCTGGTAATATGCACATCTACACACTGTGTACTAAATATCTGCAAAGTTTGTCCAAATTCTGTGCAGCGGTTTAATAGGAGTTGTGCTGAAAAACTGTTCATCTCTATATTCAAGATATGGCCAAAAACCTAAGTTGAAAAGTGCCGAAATTCCCAGAAAAAATAATGGAATCAGAATTTCCTGGTAATATGCACATCTACACACTGTGTACTAAATATCTGCAGAGATTGACCAAATTCTGTGCAGCGGTTTAATAGGAGTTGTGCTGACAAACTGTTCATCTTTATATTGAAGATATGGCCAAAAATCTAAGTTGAAAAGTGCCGAAATTCCAAGAAAATATAAAGGAATCGGAATTTCCTGGTAATATGCACATCTATACATTGTGTGCTAAATATCTGCAAAGTTTGACCAAATTCTATGCAGCGGTTTAATAGGAGTTGTGCTGACAAACTGTTCACCTCTATATTCAAGATATGGCCAAAAACCTAAGTTGAAAAGTGCCGAAATTCCCAGAAAAATACGGAATCGGAATTTCCTGGTAATATGCACATCTACACACTGTGTACTAAATATCTGCAAAGTTTGACCAAATTCTGTGCAGCGGTTTAAGAGGAGTTGCGCTGACAAACTGTTCATCTCTATATTCAAGATATGGCCAAAAATCTAAGTTGAAAAGTGCTGAAATTCCCAGAAAAATAATGGAATCGGAATTTCCTGGTAATATGCACATCTACACATTGTGTCCTAAATATCTGCAAAGTTTGACCAAATTCTGTGCAGCGGTTTAAGAGGAGTTGTGCTGACAAACTGTTCATCTTTATATTGAAGATATGGCCAAAAATCTAAGTTGAAAAGTGCCGAAATTCCAAGAAAAAATAAAGGAATCGGAATTTCCTGGTAATATGCATATCTACACATTGTGTCCTAAATATCTGCAAAGTTTGACGAAATTCTGTGCAGCGGTTTATGAGGAGTTGCGCTGACAAAAAAACAGGACTGACGGACTGACTGACTGACTGACTGACTGACTGACACACTGACTGACGGACGGGTCAAAAACATTATACCTCACGCAACTTGTTGCGTGGGGTATAAATATTCGTAAAGTTGAGGTTCGTAATCTTTGATATCCTTTGCAATTAAAGAAAGAAGATGTCTTTAAGATTGTAAATGTGCATTTTTCTACCAATCAAGGAAGTATAAATAGACAATAAAGTACTTATTTTGCTTGTCCTTCCAGTCCATCAGAGTCGCACTTGTGTTTGTCCACAGTTCTTCCAACTGACAAATCAAATCGAACGTAGAACAGCCTCCATTCAAAGTATTGAATTTATGTTTATGGGATTAATTTCCTCTACAGTACTACTATTCCTTATCTCCTTTGCTTATCTTTTTCAGTCACCGTCACGGTAGCTCAGTCGGTAGAGAGCTTTTTTCGTGATGGGAAGGTCGTGTGTTCGAATCACGGCCGCGACTACCTAAGTTGAGAAAAATAGGTAGCAACTGTTTCTTCGACAAGCGCATGGCACTTTGAAGTGAAAATTACGGGTCTTTCAGATGAGACCCGAGGCCCCGTATCACGGTAGGCGTTTGCATGATTAAAAAACCCCTCACTCCTCAATTGCCCTGAGTGCCATGTAAAGGTCTAAATTTGAAATCCTTCACCTGTATATGGTGACGTCTCTATATGAGTGAAAGACGTAAAACAACATACAATCAATCAATCAATCAAACATCTTTTTCAGTCTCATTTTTAAGAATCTATATTGTAACTATGCATTTCTTTTTAATTCTATTATCCAGTATTGAAATGTTTGATTAATCTGTTTGATCTATTCCCTAACAAAAAATTTGTAAAATTAAAGTTCATTGTATAAACATTATTCTCAAATCTGCTGTCAAAATAATTTGATTCATAGAATTTTAATCCCTTTTCCATTGAAAAAGTCATTTCATTTGGCACACAGTGTCCAGCTTGGTTTAATTAATTTTTATTTTAGTTTACTGTCAGTGATTATGAAAAAATCATGTCAATGCCATTGTTGGTCATAATGCGCATGTAATCAAAGATTTACATGAATCAAATAAGATTTCCCATGTAAACCTTATAGATTTATAATTTCTTGTATGTGTCCTTTACCATTAACAAGCTAAATAGAAATTGGGGGGAGGGGTTATGATAAAAGATTGTCAGAAGTAAACGAAATAATGAATTGTATACAAAAACGATTTCAGAAATGTCAAAATTACATTTTCGATAAGGGTATCAATGTTTCACTGCACAGTTCATTAATTGCTTTATTTTTCTTAACTTAATATATTAAAAATTAACGTATTTTTACAAATACAAATATCCACTGAAAAAAAGAAATCTAATATCTATGTATTCTTTCTCTGTAAAACTGTACATTAAACATATAAAATGTACCATTTAAATAGAGGAAGTAAAAGTTGATGAAAGTTTTTAGTATATTTGTGAAAGTACTCATATTTTCAGTCACAAGAAATAAGTTTTTGTGCGATTTATTATTGATTAGAAAATTTAGCTTTACTGAAACCTGCCTGGCAACAGACTAATTGGCCTGATAAGCCTATAGCATGGGGAGCAGCCAAGGCGGTAGATGGCAATTACTCTGACCGCTCAGCGGGAGGAAACCAGTGTACAATATCAGCTGGTGAACAAACAGCAGAGTGGAGAGTGGACCTACAGAGTGTGGTCAGCATCAGTCACATCAACATCTACTACAGGACTGATAATACACCCAGTATGTTTAATTTAAAACGATTTTTTTCTATATCATTTGGTTTATTACTACATGATGAGTAGATCTATAGAGAGTGGTACACATCTGTCACATCCACAATGCAGGACAGATAATATTGCAAGAACGTTTGAAGCCAAACAAAAAGTGTTCTGTTCATCATATGGTTGATAATATTGCCAGTTAAAGATCGGATAAAGCTAATGGTTCACTACCCATATACCGAGTTACTTGCTCCCCTTTACTCCGCTCTTCAGTATCGCTGGGTAGTTCCGGTTCAGTTGCCTCAGCTGTAATCAAACCACGCTCTGTATATTCGGTCAGGTATTACGACTTATAAGGTAAAGAAAGTTTAAGTGTATGGTTATTAAAGGAGTTACAATTAGACAACATGTTAAAGGAATATACCTCAAATGTATTTTTCAAACATCATTGGCAGGAAATTCTGAATGTAGAAATAAAAAAGTTAGCAATGTTTGTGTATATAATTGGAATTCCAAATTTAAAAATAGTAGTAGTGTGTGTGAAACGGCTGCAATTTGTTTTTATTATTTTTGAAGTTAAAAAATAAATAATTTATATTATTTACAATAATGCATGGGGTACATTTTTAGCTAACCTCATCAAAGCAATTTTTTTTTTTTATTTTTGGTTTTATTACTTTAAATCGATCCATGTAAAATGGGTGGTGGACGTCAATATTGCGTCTTCTACTCGCACTACCTGGGCCAAGTCAATAAAAACAATAAATAAAAATCACCTTGCACAGAATTCCAGCAGGTTCAAGTGAAAGTGATAAAAAACAAAGGAAAAGCTGGGTTCAGTACATAAAATTCATTCGCCCAAATGTTCCTATCACAGACAATACAATAATATGCAATTTACATTTTGATAATAATATTTGTACTAAATCATCAGTGCCAACTAAACTCAACTTAAAATATGCAAAACCAGAAACTCAACGTAGACCACAAGTGCGAATACCTCCAGTAAATAAAACTTTACCACCAATTAAGGTAGATGAATATCATAATCCTGATACACAACACGAACAAATAAGTGCAAATACAAGTAGTAGCAGCTGTGATGCTCAAATGCAGGTTGGTTCATCAGATGTTAGATCAACATGTACTACTGAAATCCAAACTGAGTATCCAATTATGAAACCTGAAGATATATTCCAAAATGATGACAAAACCAGATTTTAGACTGGTTTCCCAAATTACAAGACATTTGAATTTATGTTTGATGTACGTATGAAACACTGGGGAGATAGACTAACATACTGAGAAGGGGAACTGCGCTCTATAGATGGTGACAATAGGAAGTACGATGACCCAAATCTTTTTAAACCTGGAAGGAAAAGAAAACTGAGACTCATACATGAATTTTATATGGTTTGTCGAAGGTTAAGACTAGGCATGTTACAGGAACATTTGTCTGATATGTTTTTGTATCAGTCATGAATGTCTCAAGAATTCTAGATACTTAGTTAAATTTCATGTATGACCATTAACACTGTCGTGATCCCGTGCCAGATTGGATGAAACAAGATGGCGGCGGGAACAAATCGAAAAAGGTAGGCATCTGTTTTTTCATTAAATATCTGCATTAAGCGTCAGATATGCTTGCTTCGATACTGTCGAATTCCGAGTAAAATGTTTATTTGTATAATTGTTTGCTACCTATCGTCTCTTAAACTTAAACATTTATGGACTAAAGACTGCAGTATTTTTCCGATCGAGTTTGAAGCGACTAGAAGTTGTTTTTTTCCTCGATTTTGACAGTTTAATAAATCCAGCAGCCGGAATTTGGCTTACAAATGATAATTTGGAGTAATTCTGACCTAGCGTTATATGTTTATTTGCTATACCTTGTTTTGTTACAAAAATATTTCGATGAAAATTTTTTAGCAAGTGCTGGATTGGATTCGGTTAATTTTAATGGAAAATGTGCCGGATTAGATTGCATTTTTGGTGCCGGATTGGACTCTGTTTACGATGGTCATTTTAATAAACTTTTTTTTTTTAGTTTTAAAGCTTTGGATGCATCGTTCAATGAAATACCGGAAGGAGGAATTTGTGAGATATGTGGCCGTAAATACGTAGAATACAAAACAAAGTGTGCCCTGCAAAAACATATAAAAATCAAACATGAACGACAGAAGTTTGCTTTTACATGTGGTGACTGTCACGAACGCTTTTGTGATCGCCAACAATTAAATGCGCATTTGCAGAAGCATGACAAGTGTGAGAGATTTAAATGCGACACATGCAGCCACACCTTTACATACAAGCACAATCTGGCAAGGCATATGAAAAAGCATCCCAATTCCAAAGGTTCACATTTGTAGCATCTGAACTCAGGAGTTTGGTAGAGGTGACACATTACAACAGCACATAAGAGTTGTCCACGAAGCAGCAGAAAGGTATAGATGCAAGATCTGTGGCAGCTGTTACAGGTGGAAGTACAGCCTACGACGACACGTCAAAAACAGGCATAGAGGAATTCAGAAAGTCTGAGGGACAGACACTGACAACCAATTTTTTTTTTTCTTTTTTGATCTTAGATAAGGTATATCTGTGATATTTTCAAATTCAATGCAATTGTATTGTATTCTCCATTTATGTTGTTTCATAAAGATTTTATGTATATTATTTTTCTTTAACACATTTTACTTTTTGTTTATGGTTATACACCAAAAGTGTTCATGACTGTTATTTTCATTAAATGATTAAAAAAAAATCTTAGAAATTTTCTTCGAGTCTTTTTTTGAATACTGTAGATTCCTTATTTTTCGCGAGTACTTATTATCGCGAAATAGCTCTTAAGCATAAAATCGCAAAAACAATAATTCGGTAAGTAGACGGTTCATCAAGAGATTTTACATTGATTTCAGCACCATAAAAATAATATAATAAGAAGCGAAATTACGCGGTAATTAATTCCTCGCGTATATTTAGGAATCTACAGTATCTCTTCCCTGGAGCAGGAAAGGGAATGCTTTTGTCTCCTTGATACTTTTTCTAGCAAAATACTACAAATTTTACCAAAAATTATTGAAATTATTCTAAGCAATTTTACGGTAAGTTGATTAATTTTGCCATATAATAGAAGAAACGATTTCATTTTATCTTCTGAAATACAAACAAACGTGAAAATCTAGTATCTCATCATGGTTCTGTCCAGTAGTAAGTTGCATTAAAAAAAACTACCTCTGGTTTAGATTTTAATATTGATCAAACAAACAATACTAGTATTAATACAGAAAGTGGAAAATTGAATAAAGCTGCAAAAATTATGCATTTCCATATTTAAAAAAGGAAGTCCTTATCAAAATGAGCAATATTACGAAAAAGAGAAGTGTCGCTTTATACTCATTATTTTCGTTCAACTAGACTTTGCATAGATTAAGCACTCCAAGTTGTTATAATCTTTCAAGTCTTTTTATAATCAATAAGCATTGTCACTATACAGCATCTTAAAATCAAAGTATCAAAATTTACAACACCATGTTTTTCAGTAAACTTGTACCTCGTGGTCAGTTATAAAATTATCTTAATCTTTTTAAACTACTAGTAGGTTATTTTAAAATCCTTTACAGAGATAACTCCCAATTGTTAGTACATAAGGCAAATATTAACAGTTACAGTTACACAGTCTGTGACAGATTCGTAGACTGAAAATATTATGAAGGGAAGGAATCATCGCCAGGAACGAGACCTCCTCTGACATGAGGCAACAATTTTGCTTCATGTGCACGGTGAATTCTCGTACGCTTAAAGGTTTTGCAGACGGTTCCTCTGGCTTATCAATGGTTCCTCTTTTCCTTTTTTCTGGCTCCACGAGCCCTTTCGGGTTTATCAAAACCGTGGTCTCTGTAAAAGAAATATGGGTACAATAAAATTTGAGATGCAAAGAAATAGGATAATTTTTTTTTTTTTTATCGGGGTGAGTGTTTTTGAGCATACCTGATAACAATATTACTTGTATCCCTTGGTACGAAAAAGCTTGAAGGAGAAATGTCCATTATCATATACGTAGTACTAGGGTAGACTTTGCTGCAACTTGTATACATATGGAATACTCTATATACAAAGAACAAAACATTTTATATCAGAAATGGGGAAATCTGATGAAACAAACTGATTACATTACATTTGTCATTCATTCAAAGGTTCTACGAAACACGTAAATGTTATATAATACTTACTTGTATGGATCCAGTCTTGCTTCTTGCAACTATGCAGCTACACTTATGGCAGTAGGTAAAGAATTTGGACGTAGAACTCCAGTAACCCATGGATCGTAGTCTTGAAACCCACCAAAAAAATTCTCTACGTCAAGACTGCCAATACAACGGACATTGTACCTGCCATTTTTAACTAGAGGGAATAGTTGTATTCGGCGTTCAATTCCTGTCAATAGTCCTTCATACAAAATAACTGGAATACCTTTGACAAAAGCGCCCGGTGGAAGAAATTCTCCAAAATTGAAGCCATCCAAGAGCCAATCTCTAAATTTAAGGCGGTGTTCACATCGAATAATAGCTGGTATTCCAGGTTCGTCTTTCGCTTTATACCAGTGTCAATGCTGACTCAACTTTTTTCCGAAAATGTCTGCACTGCATACGCGACACTCTGCTTATCTATCAGGTCTTTCACAAGCGCCACACTGAGACCACATCCAATGTATTCACTCTCCTCAGCAACTTTGTGCAAAGGTTTATTTGATATTCTAGCTTCCGGGATGCCGCTTGAACATAAAAGTCTCCGTAGTCCACATAGTTGATGATAAGCATCTAGTATCATAAAAACATAATATCCCACGCAAGTATTCATTTCCGGACTACTGTACCATTGCTTTCTTTTCTCAGATGAACTTCCATCAATGTTAATGTTCTTTCCATATGGGCATGATCCGTACCATTTTTCTAGTTCTACAGGAAATACATTTTCCGAAAGCACAATGTTTAAGTTTTCTTTAGGTATTTTATGAAGGCA